CCCAGTCTCAGTCCCAGTCTCAGTCTCAGTCCCATTCCCAGTCCCAGTCCCAGTCTACACCATACTTTGGCACTTTACATTACTTTCTTGACGATGCATTTTTAAAAAATTAAGGAACTTTCAATTTTGCTCCTTAGGAAACATAGAATTAGTGGATACTTGAAAGCAAGGGAAGGAAAATGAAAAGTGGAGTTATATACATATATATATATATATGTATGTATTCAAGGAATTTATTTACATATAAATCTTATATATATTATACTTATATAAAATTTTAATAAATTATTTATCTATTATGTAAGGGTCTAAAAGAAGTACTCTCTCTATTTTAAAATAATGGACATTTTTTTATTGAGAATTTACCTAGAATTCAAGGAATTTATTTACATATAAATCTTATATATATTATACTTATATAAAATTTCAATAAATTATTTATCTATTATGTAAGGGTCTAAAAGAAGTACTCTCTCTATTTTAAAATAATGGACATTTTTTTATTGAGAATTTACCTAGAATAATAGTCATTATTTTATATTTTATGTGATGCTATAGGAACAACTTTAATATATTATATTGTGATACTATTTTCATATATCATTAAATGAGTGAATGCATTCAATATTACGAGTCTTAAATGAATAAAAAGAATTAATCATTTAAAAATACATATCAAAAGATAATACAAAAAAATTATCCCAAAATCATTTTCTTTATTTTTTAAAAGAGACAAATATTTTTTTTTCGTATTTTAACTTTATCATTATCCTTTGATTTTAATTATCTATCATATACTTAAAAAGTCTTGAAGAATGATTGAAGGATAACTTTTTTGTGTCATATTTTTGTACAACCTTACATATCATTAAAATGATTGATTTTTTTTATTCATTTGGAACTCATGATATTAAATGCATTTACTCATTTAATGATATATGAAAATTATATAAAAAAATAGTACAAAAATATTGTTCTTATATCACCGTCCAAAAGTCTCCCTTTTGTTTCTGTTTAAGGGTAAATACATAAAAATAAAAATTGTTCCTAAATTCTTAATATGAAGTTAAAAACTGAAATATATCTATTAATCTAGAATGGAGAGAGTTTGTTAATAAGGTCCATCTGAGACTATCAGTTACTTTTTTATCTTAAAATATTTGTTATTTTTTAATTAAGAATTGAGAATAATTTATATATTTATATATACCATCCTTAAGAAAAGATAAATAAAGATTTTTTTGATAAGATAAATAATTAAAATAAAAAGATAATAATAAGACTAAAATATGTAGAAAA